TGTTTGAAAAACAAACGAAGACTAATTTTCTTCCTATAGAAGGAGGATACCTTTTACGTCTTCTTAATAGTGAAAAAGGTAAAAGTGAAAAACTTATTTTTTAATTAATGAGAGACAAATGTCTTATATCGGTATTTATAGCTGAGCTCTTTGATTAGAATGGAATTAACTCAAGCCTCATAAATTTTAAAAAACGTTCACATGCCATATTCTACTGATGACGATTGAACACCAAAATTCTAGCTAAATAAGACAAAACGGCATATTTACCATGCACATGTAAAAAAATTTATATAGAATTTGGTTTGACTATAGATATACTTATCTATTCATGAAATAGGACTAGCTTAATTTATTTGATATTTTTTTTTCTCTTATCAGAAACACAAACAAACATATTGTTACAAAGGTCGTCTACAAAAATCTTAATTATCATCGAACATATTCATATAAAGGATTTAAAATTAATTATAAAATTTTTATACAAAAGAAAATAGAAAAGTGTGATTTTTAACGAATATGTGAATGTTTTTCTAGTTAATCTAATTACTATTAATAATATTGATCATTTAAGTCTAATCTTCTAATCGTTTGAATTGATCATTAGAAAATGGAAAAACCATCTCTCCTTTTTTTTTTCGCTAAAGGAGATGAATCGTGAAACTTTTGGAAAAATTTTTACATACAGTTTTCGTGTTTTTAACATTTTATTGTTCAATTATTAACATTACTTTTATGAATCTTTTACAAAAGACTTTTGTGAATTGAACCTCCGTATGTCCGACAGAAATTAAAACATCTCGTTTCCGTTCACATGTTTAAAAAGTCGTAAAATAAATATTTATTATTTTTAGACTATTTGGCTTCCAAGATAGAAATGAAATGCGAGCGTGGCTCATATGCTTTTAATGCGATAAAAACAAACACATCATTGTTGTATAAATCATTTAGAGACTTATTCTCAAATCTATTCTTACACATTTTTAGATTATTTTGTTCTTGACATAGATTTTTTATTACAATCTCATAATGAATGTTCATTATGAGAAAAACAAGAGTAGACAGTCAATGCCAAAATCAATTTTGAGTTTTATTGTCTTATGTTGTTATTTCCAAATCTAAATTGAGACTTTTTTCCGTTCTCTCTTATTAAACAAAAAAAAAACAAAAAAAAACGAGAAAATGATGCGGGATACAATTCTCTCAGCCGATATATATATATATATATTTTTTTTTTTTAAGAAAATATGGTCGGTCGTCTACATGTTCTTTTTTTTAGCAGAAGTTTTGCAACAAGAGTTTTTTCAATAGGTAGAGAGAACTCTTTCTATATAGATCGACATGGAAGAGAATTATCGAAAAAAAATGAGAAGGGAGAAGAAGAATGTCAAACAAAAAGTAACAATACTATCGTAAAAGAAAACCTAATAGGACAACGGAAAAAATCGAACGGAAGAATGTCACAAAGAAAAGTTGTGTGAAATGTAAACACAAACGTAAAGAATTATTTTTTTTAACAATGCAAACAAAAGAAAATCGATATAAAAGAAAAACTTTTTTGTATATATGTGCTCATAATCAAGAATTGTAACGATAAATAATAATAATGATAATAATAATAATATCATATATAGATGTGTATGTGTGATCGGACACACTTTTTACTTAATTTTAGACTTTTAAAGGCAAAGAATGAATTTTTAAAGTAGAATAAATTAATTTTTAGTGAAAAAAAAATAATATCTTTAACTAAATTGAACTGAAAATAAAGTTTATTTTCTACGAAGTTTATATCGAATATTTATCAAATAGTTCTCATAAATTCAATGTATTCGTTAATTCTCTTATGTTGTGAGTGAACAACAAGATTATTTTTTCTAATCATCTATGATTTTTTGATTATAAAAAAACTTGTTCTATTTTAACTTCTAACTAGTGCTTATCCATTCAAAACACAATCCGTCATTTATTCACTATTATACTCAATTCTATATTTTCTATAGAAAAAGAAAAACGTCAAGTGTCTATTAATTAATCTTTAACGGCATTAATAAAACAATACCATTTATTTTAATATTTTTTTTACCTTGACCTTTGTTATGATTGTTTCACTGTGTTTATTTTTTTCAATTATTTGTCTCTCTCTCTCTCTCTCTCTCTTATTCATACCACCTTTTTGTAAACGATTCTTTTAGAATAGGGTGGCCTTGTTCTGCCACATTTGGTTGTTACTACAAACTGACACCACTAATATATTATCAAGATAGTGATAAAAAGCTATTCATAATAAAAATAATAATACTTGAAAAAAAAAATGTAAATAATAGGAAAACACTTCTAAGTAGTAAAATTTCAAAATCAATTCTATATAATTCTATAAAATGATTTTTCATTTCATGATAACTTCTTCTATTTAGTACAAGTTTGTTCAAAATTTTAACTATAAATAAATTACTTCAAAACTGTCTAATTTCTAAAAACTATGATTATTAAATTAATCTAGAGAGTTGTTAAAAGATGGATCTAATTTTTCTTTTTTTTTAGAAGATATTCACGCGACTAATCCATTTATTTACAATTGGATAGAGGGCGTTTTTTCTTGTCAGTCAAGGTTGTTCTATGACCTTGAAAAAAAAAAATATGAGGAATAAAACGACTTTGTTCGAATACAAAACAAGAGTAGAAATACAGTTTTGACATTTTTTTCTTTATTTCTACTATATCAAATGACACTTATCGTTTTCAGAATGAAAATATTTTAACAAAACTTTACTTACACTGACGGATGTTGTTGCATAACTTGTCGATCTGGTAGTGGCATGAGTGAAAATTGTTGATGCATTGCATCAGAAAACGGAGAATACATAATTTTTGGTCTACTAATGTTCAATTATTGTTATTTCTCAAATATTCAAAATACGAAAAAAAAAAAAATCTAAAACAGATAAAAATAACATGTGATGAATCTTTTAAAATAAAATACATGGTTAAAAAAAATATTGTTAAACATATTTATCAAATATTGATTTTAAAATACTATGCAATGAGAGTCACAAGTCCATTTTCCAAATGAAAGGAAAATGATGGTCTTATCAAGTCCTTTTACGAAAGTAAATGTTTCCAGTACCACAATTAAAGCGCTGATAAACTTCCATCGTCTATTATCACATAATAAACGAATTATGTACATGTTTGTTAATGAGATGAATAAGAAGCAATCTAATTTATATCAGTATTTTCTCACAAAATGCAATGTTTTTAACAGAAAATTTTCATTAACTTTACGTTTATATAGTTTATCTCTAAATTTTTATTTTATTTTCAGATGTTTTTCTATTGTAGAGAGCAAGTATATCCTACTTACATCTTCACAGTGTATGAACACTTTATTTTACGGTAGAGATTTTTAATAATGATTTTAAGCAACAAATAGTTTCTACACTTTACTATCACATTCCTTGTTAAAAACAGAATGGATATCAAATTTTCAAAATAAAAACCCATTTTACTCCCCCATGGTCCATCATGCTATTCCGCTTTATATACTTTGTCATTTAAAAATTCTACATACAAATTGTATGATCTACTTCTGTTTGAAATAATAAGCTTCTTGCGAGAATGACATGAAAATTTGACTAACAGATTCACTATTAAACTTAAGAAAAATAGCTATACTGTCTCACTCCATATGTCTGCTTGTCACACTGCAATTTTAAGTTCAACAAGGAACATATTATGATAAATTAATCTTCTTTAAAGAAAATATAAACCGGTATATTGCTTCCCCATGGTCAAAGAATCAATGACTGAGCGATATTTACAAAAGTTAAAAGTCGTGACTATTCCTATCTAAAAACGTGTTGCTCAACACTATTTTTAAACTCGAAAAGTTTGACATTATCATATGGTATATTTAAAATGTGCTATTAATACACTAGAAGTGTGATATTTCGGCATGCTGCAGTATTAAGCTTTTTTTAATGGCGCTTCAAAAGCGTAACACAGCCATTGTGAAAGTGTGGCATCAAATTTTTGCCATTGCATTTCAACACTATTTATCATGACCATGTTGCACTCTGAAGCATCATATTTTTAACATTGCAGTTCGGATAATAGACACTACTCTAAAAATAACTACAAACAGAAAATTCGTGCTTTAACAGTGCAGCAAGACAGATACTGTTATCACGTTTCAGCATGCGTCATCGTGCGTTCACTACAAAACATTTTTCTTTCTTTCTTTGTTTTGCTTATTGTACTCTCCATGATAGACTGGTTCAATAAAACAGCCAATGGACCTGTTTTCTTTAACCTCCATTACTCAGTTCAAACGAGCCAAAAGATGAGAATATGGAATCTTTGATATGAAGAAACGTTTGGTTAAAAATGAAATACTTGTTGTTGTAGTTGATATGTAAAAATAAAATTCAATGTAGAATAATGAATAAATTTCTGAGAGGAAACGTCGCGTGTAATGGTAGCACATTCTCGAAAATTTTGGTAAATAATAAAAAGAAAAATTGGGTCAGATTTATGGTAAAAAAAACAGTAGTGAATTCGATTAAAGAATAACTATAAATTTGTGTAACCAACAAAACAACCTATGTTTTTTTCTTCGAGATAGAGAGCAATAGTCTGTGTATTAAATATGTCCGTAACATGTTACTATCGGATTCGCTCTTCTGCTATTCATAAAATTTCGTCGTTGAAACGAAAGAGAAATATTTATATCAAAAGCTTTCAAATGTTCAAAGATTTTCTAGATGATAGTTTGCTATTTGTTTGAGAAAACGCGGAATTTATTGAAACCAATGAATAATATATGCGTCCTTTTTGAAGTTTATAAAAATTTTATCTTTATACTTTATAGACTGATGTTTTTGCTGACTTTTAATTGGAATTTCTTATTTTAATTCTGATTACGTACAGAATATTTATTTTTTAATTTTAGATTTGATTCAAATAAACTCATCTTCTCATTTAAGTTCATTTGAGCTAAAATGAGTGCAAAACATGATGGTAAGTTCAGCTTGATTTTCCAGTCTGAGTTCTATTTTAATCTTTGTTGGCTTTTCTGTTATTTAGCTATTGAAGCTCAATCAAAAGTAATAAAACAGAATCGTCGAAATGAGTCAGCTGAAGAACGTGGAACCCGTTTTGGAGAACAAATTCTTGATACAGACGTTTATCAACAAAATACAAAAGAAGGTTATTTATCCTATTTGCCAACCAACAATGATGATGATGACGTAAGATTGACTTCAAAGCTAATTACAGAATAGATGCATTATCTGTCACTTTTTTATTAGGGAGATGATGATTATTCTTCGTCAATAACAAATATGAAATTAAAGAATTATGGACCATCTCAAGAAATCTTACAAAATATTCCAAACATAGACAGAGTAAGTGATATTTATCTCTTTTTCATATGTATCTAAATTTATTTTCGTTTCAGAACTTTGATCCATTGGAAGAACGTCGTAAAGGACGTGTAGCAGATCGAGAAAATGAATATCAACGTCAAAATCGTGTTCTCCCAGGAATGATTTCGCCCGAAAGATTGGATTATTTTGCTGATGGTAAACATTTCTCTTTTTTATTTTGTTTTTTGTACTTTCGAGCCGAATGCGTCCGCGCAGCTAGCTCGTCTTCTTTTACTTTTCTCAGAAATATATCTGCAGTATTATTCTTTAATGAGTTAGGTAGAAATCGTTTTTTTTCTTTGTTCTTTCCTGTGCCCGTATAATTTGCAACGGTCAGTGCCAATAGTTTAAAGTCTCTGAGGTTGTTTTTTTTTTGAGGTTAATATGCAGTATACGAATATTACCACAAAAATATCATTTTTAGGTTGTTCGACGTTTTGCGACGATACCATAAAAAAAAGATACGGGTAGACGATACTATACGTCAAAATTCATTTATTTCTTGAGGCGAGTTCGCCCATCCCTTCCTCACCCCCTTGACTACTGATATTTTGAGCTTTTATTTAGAAGTCATCATAGTTGTGATGCAGTTCATTCAATTTCAATATATATCACAATGTTTGGCTTGAAAGAGATACTAGATGATATTAGATTAAATTAATCTGCCTTTTTTCTTACATTTAAAACATCTTTCTTCTTTTAAAATAAAAAATAATTTTCAGTTATCCCTCTAAAAACGTTAGGGCCATTCCACTTTTATATATTGGCATATTCAAATTTGGACATGAAAATTGGCTTCAACAGGTGGTATACAATACGGTAAATGTATATATGTAGAAAGTCTTTAGCGAGAAAAACTGAACAAATTCAATTGAATGATTTAATTACATGCCTGTTGTATTTTTTATTTAGGTGGTAAAACGCCTGATCCTCAAGCTAAAGGTCGTGGTTATGTCGATATTATGGGCGAAGTAGCTGTACGAAACGCAAAGGTACACCTTTCATTTTTTTTGTATTATTATTTATTGTTAACATATTTGTATTTTCATTAGATTGATATACGAAATCAACTTGCTGAAAAAGCAAAATCTGGCGATTTACGTTCATCTTCAACATCAACAGCTGCTGCATTGATCTCTGCAAAAGCGGCTGCAGTGGCAGCTTCAAATGAAGCAACAACTAGCGATAAACGTCGACGTCGTTGGGATCAAACAGCATCTCAAGATGAGTCAGATCCAAAAGCAAAAAAGGCAGCGTATGAAGAGGTATGATAATAAAATGATAAATTGGAATAATAGTTCTGTTTTATCTTCCTGTATGGTAGTTTTTGAAATCCATTGTAGCTTTGTTATACTCAATCTTTTTATTATGTTCGTTTTAGGCCACCACGCCAGCACACGCAAGATGGGAAGAAACACCTGGGCGATCACTTGGTAGTGAAACGCCTGGTGCTTATCAACAATCACGAATTCAGTGGGATGCAACTCCAGGTCATGTAACACCCGGTGCCACTTCTGAAACTCCGGGAGGTTCACGAACACCAGGCGCCGAAACGCCCGGTCGCCCATCGGCAAAGAAATCAAATCGTTGGGATGAAACTCCACGAACGGAAAGAGGTATTATATTTTTATTGCTTTTAATTGGTTATGTAATATTCAACTCTGTTTTTTCTTTCTCTTTAGAAACTCCACATACTAGCGGATGGGCAGAAACCCCTAAAACTGATCGGGGCGTTAATCTGGACGAAGATTATTTAATTAAATCCACACCAACACCATCAACAGACAAACGTCGTTCAAGGTGGGATGAAACACCAGCGAATGCATCGGCTACTCCCTCTGGAACACCGTCAAGTTTTACACCCATTGCCAAAGAAATTGGTGTTCATGCAACTCCAACAATGGTAAGTGGTTTTACTCCTGGTATGACACCCAATTTAATGACGCCAGTCGGTACAAAAGCAATGGGCTTAGCTACACCAACACCTGGACAATTAGTCATGACACCTGAACAAATGCAAGCATATCGTTGGGAACGTGAAATTGATGAACGTAATCGTCCATTAGCCGATGAAGAATTGGATATGATGTTTCCTCCTGGTTATAAAGTGTTACAACCACCAGCTGGCTACATTCCACTTCGTACTCCGGCCAGAAAATTAACAGCTACACCAACACCCATGTCGGTATTGAGCGGTTTTCGTTTACAAGCCTCTGAACGTGGTCAAGGTGCACAATCAAATCAATTACAAGAATATCAACCAAAAGGAAATCTACCATTGTTGAAACCAGACGATTTACAATATTTTGACAAATTATTACAAGAAATCGATGAAGAACAATTGAGCCCCGAAGAACAAAAAGAACGAAAAATTATGAAATTATTATTAAAAATTAAAAATGGTACACCACCAATGCGAAAAGCAGCATTGAGACAAATTACCGATAAAGCACGTGAATTCGGTGCAGGACCGTTGTTTAATCAAATATTACCATTATTGATGTCACCAACATTAGAAGATCAGGAAAGACATTTATTAGTAAAAGTTATCGATCGTATTTTATATAAACTCGATGATTTAGTTCGACCATATGTACATAAAATACTTGTTGTTATTGAACCGTTGTTAATCGATGAAGATTATTATGCACGTGTTGAAGGAAGAGAAATTATATCAAATTTAGCTAAGGTAAGATCAATTTTATTTTAAAATATAAAGTTAGTTAGGTATAGAACTAGTGACATGCCATATATAATCAACATTATTATAGGCTGCTGGTCTTGCAACAATGATATCAACAATGCGTCCTGATATCGATAATTTAGATGAATATGTACGTAATACAACAGCGCGTGCTTTTGCCGTCGTTGCATCTGCACTGGGAATTCCAGCTCTGTTACCATTTTTAAAAGCTGTTTGTAAAAGTAAAAAATCATGGCAAGCACGACACACTGGTATCAAAATTGTTCAACAAATTGCTATATTAATGGGATGTGCAATTTTACCACATTTAAAATCATTAGTTGAAATTATTGAACATGGTTCGTGACTCCGAATATTTTATTGAATAAGCTGTTTATAATCTTTTTTTTAATTTTTATTTTGTAGGACTAGAAGATGAACAACAAAAAGTTCGTACAATTACAGCTTTGGCTATAGCAGCATTAGCTGAAGCAGCAACGCCTTATGGTATTGAATCATTTGATACAGTTTTGAAACCACTATGGAAAGGTATCAAACAACATCGTGGAAAAGGCTTGGCGGCATTTTTAAAAGTAAGCTTATTTCATGTCTTTTATTAAAACTATGATTCTAATATTCTTATTGAATTCAGGCAATTGGTTATTTAATTCCATTGATGGATGCTGAATATGCGAATTATTATACTCGTGAAGTGATGTTAATATTGATACGTGAATTTCAGTCGCCCGATGAGGAAATGAAAAAAATCGTTTTAAAAGTTGTTAAACAATGTTGTGCAACTGATGGTGTTGAAGCACAATATATTAAAGATGATATTTTACCATCATTTTTTAAACATTTTTGGAATCAACGTATGGCGTTAGATCGTCGAAATTATCGTCAGTTAGTTGATACAACTGTGGAAATAGCAAATAAAGTTGGCTCATCGGAAATTATTAATCGTATTGTTGATGATTTAAAAGATGAATCTGAACAATATCGTAAAATGGTTATGGAAACAATAGAAAAAATAATGACTAATTTAGGTTCACATGATATTCATTCACGTTTAGAAGAACAATTGATTGATGGTATTCTTTATGCATTTCAAGAACAAACAACAGAAGATTCGGTTATGTTAAATGGGTTTGGTGCTGTTGTAAATACATTGGGAAAACGTTGTAAAGCGTATTTACCACAGATATGTGGTACAATATTGTGGCGTTTAAATAATAAAGCAGCAAAAGTACGACAACAAGCTGCTGATCTTATATCAAAAATAGCCAATGTGATGAAACTTTGTACTGAGGTAAACAAAAAAACATAAATCGCGACTACAATAAAAATGTTTAAATATTTCTATTATTTTTAGGAAAAATTAATGGGTCAATTGGGTCTTGTGTTATACGAATATCTTGGTGAAGAATATCCAGAAGTATTGGGTAGTATTTTGGGTGCATTGAAAGGTATTGTGAATGTTATTGGTATGACAAATATGACACCACCAATCAAAGATTTATTACCACGTTTGACACCAATCTTAAAAAATAGGTATAGTGTTCTTGTTTTTTGTTGTTAATTGAATGACTATTGTGACTATTTCTCCATTATAGACATGAAAAAGTTCAAGAAAATTGTATTGATTTAGTTGGTCGAATAGCGGAATTGGGTGCTGAACATGTAGCGGCACGAGAATGGATGCGTATCTGTTTCGAATTATTAGAATTATTAAAAGCACATAAAAAAGCTATTAGACGCGCAGCTGTAAACACATTTGGTTACATAGCGAAAGCCATTGGACCTCACGATGTTTTGGCGACATTATTAAATAATTTAAAAGTCCAAGAGAGACAATTGAGAGTATGCACAACGGTTGCTATAGCTATTGTAGCCGAAACGTGTTCACCATTTACAGTTTTACCCGGTAAGCTTAAAATAAAAATGATCTCATTTTAATCTGATAAATTGTCTGGAATCGGATATCATTAATCAGTGGATCTCTCAACTTAGGTCTAATGAATGAATATCGTGTACCGGAATTAAACGTACAAAACGGTGTATTGAAAGCATTGTCATTTATGTTTGAATATATTGGAGAAATGGGAAAGGATTACATTTATGCTGTAACCCCATTACTTGAAGATGCACTTATGGATCGGTGAGTTTCTCGTCATTTTTATAGTTGACAGTTTTATGGTATATCTATATTACTTTCTAGTGATTTGGTTCATCGTCAAACCGCAATGTCAGCTATCGGTCATATGTCACTTGGAGTTTATGGTTTTGGTTGTGAGGATGCATTAGCCCATTTGTTGAATTATGTATGGCCAAATATATTTGAAACATCGCCACATGTCATTCAAGCATTTATTGCAGCATGTGAAGGTTTAAGAGTGGGTCTAGGACCAGGCAAAGTACTTTACTACACGTTGCAGGTAAATAATACTAGGAATTTAGAGCAGGTACGATATACTACCATGCTGTATTACCATCACACAGTAGATATTAGTGGTGTGCCGGGGGAAAGTGTTCTGTTTTAGTAGCATGACAATAAGTTTTTACCGTTGGCAGGTGACGAGTGCTAAAAATATGAACGCAACGTTATTCGATGCAGAAATGTTTGCTTTACACACCTGTTCACTTAATTTCTTGAATGGACGTTTATTTAAAAAATGATAGCCTCTGTGGAACCACGAGACAATCTCCGTGGGAATTCCCCGTTCTATCATACGGGGATTGACCCGTGATCCCATAGACGCTGTCATTTTTTTGAATAAACGTCCATTGAAGAAATTAAGTGAACAGGTGTGTAGAGCAAACATTTCTGCATCGAATAACGTTGCGTTCATATTTTTAGCGCTCGTCATCTGCCAACGGTAAAAACTTATTGTCATGCTATTAAAACAGAACACTTTCCCCCGGCACATCTCTGATAGATATCGTGTTTTCTCTGCTCATATGATTCTGACGTCTAAATCACGTATAAAACTTGATTTAAATTTCTTTAGATGTCACTCTCTAATTTAGTCATCAATTCAATTGTTGTTATGTTTTCGTTATAGGGTTTATTTCATCCTGCACGAAAAGTTCGAGATGTGTACTGGAAAGTATATAATACATTATATATTGGTGCACAAGATTCTCTTGTTGCTGCCTATCCACGGATTGTTGACGATATTCGAAATAGTGAACTTGATGGAATGATCAATGGAGGTGTACTTCCGCATAAAACGGAAAAGTCTGAAGAATATAGAAACACTTATACGAGATATGAACTCGATTATGTACTATAATGGCTGAGGAAGATTTTTTTCTCTTCGGCAAAATTAAAATTATTATTTTGTTGTCAAATCACAGCAAACATACGCGTGCATTTGAAAAAAATATCTTTTTTTGTCATGTATTTTTATTTTTATTTGGAACGCTCCACACAGAGCGGGATTAACTGGCATAAATATGCGATTTGTAAGTACGTTTGTTGTTGTTGTTTTTCGTCTGTGTGTGCATGTGATGATTTTGTCCTTTGGTTTTTCTTTTGTGTTTTCTATTTCGTAAATAAAGTAAAATAAATTACACATTTATATAACACAAACTTGTGTGTTATACACATTTTTGTGTAATACTATATACCAATGTTGTCTGCATCTACAAACTACACTAATTAAAATACTCATATTCTGGAGAACTTTCTCAGATATCCCATCGGGCAATTTTGCGGATTACATAGCGTTTGTGAGCGATTATTAAAGCTTATGTACAATTCCTTAAGAAAAAAACGCGTCATTTTTGGTATCTAAACACTGAATTTGATCAAATACTATTGAATAGTGTATAATATACATTGATCTTTTCGAAAATAAATTTCTTCAAAAATATGATAAAGCTTTAGGATTGCAGTCATTCATTACTCCACATGTAATGATATTTTGAGCAAAATCTTTTGACAATGACACATAGATGATAACTTTGTAACAACAAACACTGTCTTATATACATACGAGAAAAAATAACAATTAACAATATCACTTTTCATTGAAATTGCGCAAAAATACTAGAGCATCAAGTGATTTTGACGTACTTTCATTGTTCTGGGAAATATGCATTTTATATGTGAAGAACATAAATGTCAATGTGATATTGAACATTTATCTTATTGTCTGTTATATAATCTAAGACCGACATCTATCGTGTGAACATAGGAAGAGATGCTTCCCAGAACTGAGTATGTCAAAACCTCATACATGTTTGATTAGCTTTAGAACATACTGTGAGTCACACATCAAAAGCTCGTGAAAATAAGTGATTTTTATTTAACAATCTTCACAATATATATATATATACATTGTAACTCATTTATGTCTTCATTGAGACTAAAAGAATTGATGGGATCAGCTTTCTTCGAAGAGTTTTTAAAAAAATTCGGTTGACCCCACACTCTAAAAAAAAAGGCGTAGTCTCGGAAGCGCTTAATGGGTTTTCGAAAATGAAACTATATGAAACGCTTATCCGTTTCCGAGCTCTTCTAAACTCTTTTCTACTTCGAAAACCCTTTTTCGCCTCCTTCGACTTTTTCTCGGAAACTGCCAAAAAAAGGTTTCGGAACCCTCGAAAACGATTATCCGTTTCACATAGTTTCATTTTCGGAAACCCTCAACAAAGGTTTCTGAACGGATTTCGTGAGAATGCTTACCTACTTTAACTGTTTTATATTGTGCTATCTAGGGCTATTACTATTACGTTTTCGCATCTACTTTGATGAAAGGATAATAAGACGTCCATCATTATTACTCGCTCCATGTGAGGGTTCCCATTGCGATAAAATGGGAGATATATTGAGGTATTTCATATCCTAGTAACAGTTGTATTTTCTATTTAAGTTTTTGTAAGAGACAAATTGTTAATACTCTGAAGATCCCTTTCCGTTTTCGAACATTTTCCTCAAAAATCCTTTGGGTTTCCCACGATTCGGATACCCTTCAAGACCGATCTCTCTATCGGTTGTGATTCTCTAATGGCAAACATTTTACCTGACCAAATGGTAACAAATTTCGGGTGACTCAGGAAAATGCCTGCCATTCGAGAACCACAACAGATATAGTGAGCGACCCTGCGCAGAATTGTAAAAAACACTTTAGGCTCTCTAGTCACCATGTTGAAATAAAAAGTCCACCGCAGATGCAGAATCTGACAACCTCATCAGTTTTCATCCATCAGGTACAACGCCTGAAAAACCAAGATTTTTGGCACGAAATATATGTGAGGATAGAGTAAAGCCTCCTCTACAAAATGCTTTTCGTTCGCGAGTTATTCAAAAAATATCCATGGCCGCGCTGTTGAGAAATCCATAGTAGAAACCCCATTTGCGCATTACGTTGCCGTTTTCAATAAATCGTTAATTTGCAAATAAAAGTGTAACGCACCAGAGTGGTATTAATTAGTATTCATTAACATGATTATTTATAAATTATTGTCTTACGAAAACTTTTTTAAAATTTTTTTCATCCGACCATAATAACAGACCATTGACTATCAAATCATGCAAGAACAACATTTCTACGGTTATTTTTAACCGAACTACAAGCTTTGCAAAATGCGAACTAGCAGCCCAAATTCTAATTAAAATTTAAACTTAATTAATTAATAACTCTGGAAATACTTATCAGTGCATCGACAGAACTTAAGGAAATATGTAGTCAGATGCCCTCTTTAAACCGACATTGTTCGAGGACACATATAGGGGAAGGGGACCCCCCTTATCTGGACCACCACCCGTTAGTATTGATTTGATAATCATACAAGATAGAAATAGTGTTCTGTCTGAAGGAGAAATTTTCAGATGTAAGTGTTGATTCATTGGGTTGATTAAGTAATTTCACTGCCCTCATCAGAAAACATTAAAAAAGAGTAGTTTTTAGAGAAAAAACTACATCCTATATTGAATGGACTAAACAAAGGTATATTCTTATCATTTTTTCATACGAAATAATGTGTAACGTTTGTCGCAATGTGTAAGCGATGCTTCTACACAGGTTTACTCGCTTTATACAAAACTTTGAGCTGGAAAGAAAATCAGAAGTTACTCCAAGGTCTCGTAGCTGCTTTCTCGCCGAAATGTGTGAAACATGGTGCTGTGCTCCCGAGGCTCAAAGTTTTCGAAACCTGTGAGAGATAATTCAAATTACAATAAACTTCGGGCTGTGTTAGATGAAAACGAAGCTGAACAGCAACTCATTTCATTAGTAGAAGAATTAGCTCTACAGCTGTTTTCATTCTCAAACAGCGATCGATTTACTCAAAAGTATCAATAACTTTTGGACCACTAGTAAATGGACAGTTTTTCCGGATATTTCTATCCTTGGTACCACTACTTAACTAGGACTACAAAAAACGATGGATTTCATCATTTTTGCACTTTTGCTCGGATCAGCTCTCCGAAAATATGCTCAAATCTCTAACTCGTAGTTACATGTAAACGGCCTAAAAAGTCATGAACTATGCGATATTTTCTATGTTAAACAAGAATCAGAAATCATCCATTGCTTATTTTGTAGCGGGGCATCTGTGTAGAAGCGTCGTTTATACATTGCGACAAAAATTACACATTATTTCGTATGACAAAAATGATAAGAAAATACCTTTGTTTAGTCCATTCAATATAGGATGTGGTTTTTCTTCTAAAAACTGCTCTTTTCTAATGTGTTCGTGAGACGCAAGCTTTAGGATCTTAGAAATTACCAACCGGAATCATTGGATCCCATGAAGTTGTTTTTGTCAACAATAATCAGATGGAGCTATTCCGAAGAAAAAGAGGAAATGGAATTCATATTAGAACCTAGTTATCGCCTTTTTACTTTATGAGCATGGCGTTATGCATGATAATTTGTTAAAGTTAGACAGTCAAAGGCATGGCAGTTTCTCAGCATACCACAATGATTATGATTTTTAACATTAGCTGCTAGAAGATTGGTTGTTCCATTGATTACGAAGTAATGGTGTCAGCCGATAATGTGCGGTAATGCAGTATTGAGATGTGGGCTGTTTAAGAGTTTCACATTTTTAGTCATTCTGACAAGATATTTATGTTAGTAACTAACTGCTTGAATCTTTTGAAATTATAAATAAATGAGTCTCTTTTCGAGAATTTAAGGTGTTTTCACCTTCTTTCTTTGAAAGTCAAACAAAAATAAAAGTACTATTCTTTGTTTTCGTTTCTTATGTTACTTGCCGAGGACGACGAGTAATATAATAGATAATTATAAGTGTTATCATTTAAATATAAGCAAACAAATAAACAGTATTTTATTTTTATGATACTTACTCTGTAAATCAAACGGCCGCAAATGAAAGTGTGTTGAATTGTTTTCTCGTTATATAAATGGAATTTGTTTATTATTCCTTGTTATTTATAAATATTTTTCTGTACACTATTCCTTTCATCTTTTCTCAAAACGTTGAACAAATTCAAAAACTTGATATATGTGTTTCTACAAGTCAAACGCTACGCTGCCAAAACAATTACGCTATTATAATTGTTGATGCTTTTTATGGTGTTAGCCATCAAGGATCGTGTGCTTATTCGACGGGTGATTGTATTGCCGATGCCACTTCTGGTGTAACATGTGGGACAGATACCATTTCCTGTTTAGTATATGCCAGTAGCAAGAAATTACCACAATGTGATGATAAAAACAACAACTATCTTCATATTGAGTATCAATGTGTGCCCATCATTATGCAAGACTCAACAAAAGTCTATGGAGTCTGTCAAAATTCAGACACCGATATCACTAGTGATCATGGTATCATTATCAGTCCTGGTTATCCGACACAATTTCAAACAACAACGAACGAATGTTTTCGTTCCATACACGTACCGGATAATAAATTAATTCAATTGTGGTTAACTGATTTGTACATTGGTTCATCACCATCACAAGATTGTCCAAAAGATCATGTGTTAGTAGTGGATAGTGTGAGTACTTATCGACATTGTAATATAAAACGATTTGCCTATCCATTATTATGTTCATCATCGATTATTATACAATATTATGCGACAACAAACTCGGTCGTCTATAAAGGAATGAGACTATATTTTGAGATTGTTGATAGACCACCGAGTATCCACTGTCCACAAGTGACAGTGACACCTGTACCATTATCAACAATAACTGGGTCAACAACTCCACATTTGACAACGACACTGCCTCTCTATGCCCAATTAGTTATTGCATCGCCGAAATTTGACATACAACTATGCAAAGGTATGTATGTAACTTTGATCTATTAAATGTTCTTTTCTTTTTATTTTTACATTCTCTTTTATTTTTTTTAGATGATTTTCAGACTATCACTTGTCCAATGGATTTTGTAGCAGTCATTAACACTATGATATATGCTGTTGTACCATCAAATCAATGTGAACCTTTTAACTTGGCTACACATTGCTCCGTAACAGAAGAGCCCAATATATATTGTCGGCGAACGTGCACACTCAGCTATTATGGTAATAAATTTCTTCCTGCTTGTTCTAATCAAGAAGCAACATATCGGTTAGTATCCTATCAGTGTGTACCTGATAAGGCGCCAGTACTAACAGCTAATCATCCGTGTACAGGTGGTCCCGACATTTACATATCAAAAAATGGAGAGTTTATATCGGAGGGTTACCCTTATATATCTCAAACGGAAAATTGTACATATCATTTGAAAACAGATGTGGATAAAATAATGAATATTTACGCATTAGACATCACTCTCAGTGATTTTGATCTAGACTGTAAAACAAATAGTTTGACGATAATTGATGGTGATAATAGAGCGGTATTCTGTGATGTATTTTATGGTAAAATAATTCATTCAAGTTGTTCAAATGAAATTGATATTAATTATTCTATCACTGATTCTCATCAAATAATATCGTATGGTGCACGATTGTACATTGAAGCAGTACAACGGCCAGCTGATCATTGTGATAAAACAGATCCAATGCCCACAACATCTACAACTGTTACACATATGACACCAACAATACCGACAATAATTCCTGAGCCATTTTCAGGTGCATTAAATGAAACAAATGCCGATATTTGTTTTGGTGATACACCAAGTTTCGCATGTCCATCAGGTTATACATTTATTATTATTGATGCATTTTTTGGTGTTAAAAAATCAACAACTGACGCATGTCGATTTCAACAGGGTGATTGTATACAATCTGCCACAAGTACAATAACAACATGTCAACATGATGATCCAATCTGTTATTTGCCATATACTGTAAAACGAAAATTAGCACGTTGTCAAGATTTATACGCCGATTATATGCATGTTATTTATCAATGCATACCAAATAAAGGTTTGTGTTTTGTTTATACCTTACAGGCACTAAAATTTTGATTTTAATTTTTGAAGGTTTAACACCAGATCTACTTACATACGATGTATGTCAATCATCAGATATGATTACCGCATTTAACGGTTTATTAACAAGTCCTGGTTTTCCGAAATATCAAACGGTCAATCCAGAATGCAAACGTCGTATGTAGAGATATTCATAGGCAGTCAATCCACCTACTTTCCTGTTTTATTTTAGCAATTGAAACAGTAAGAGATAAAGCAGTAAAAATATGGATCAATGAAATGGCAACATCAAGCGGTATTTTAAGAACGACTAGTGATGATGGTGAGTATCATGTCTTGATTTGTATTCTGTATTTGTTTACTATTTTCTGTATAGAATCTCAACCATTGGCTAAATCAGCTGATTTGATTATACACCGATCACCCTCATCATTGTTTATCGATGCAACAGATCATATACGTTACGGTTTACGTGATATTTGTCCAAAAGATTATTTAATTATAAACGGTGCAGTGGGTATTTCATACGTATTTTGTGGAACAAGAAAGCTGGTATTACCACCTATATGTGCCACGGAAGTCTACATCCAATATTACGCACCGGCAGCGCCCAATTTATTTTATAAAGGTTTTAAACTATACTTTGAACAGGTTCCAAAGCCAGTGGATGGAGTCGAGTGTGGTATTGGTCATACAGAAAATCCAAATCTATCAACAACAACTGAAGATCCATCTACTCTACCAATATGGGCCCAAAATTTCGAATTATCGCCCATATTTTCACAATTCTTATGCCATGGTTTTGTAGTAAGAATAACATGTCCATCAACTTATGTTGTATCGATAGACAAAGCGTATTATGGTGTAACAGGTACCGGGCAATGTGAAACACCCGATAACAGTCATTGTAAACAGGATGCCAGTTTATCCTTATCATGTACTCACACATGTTCAGTTGATTACGCTGTTCCGCAATCATTGATATTGTGCGGCGGCAGCGATGCTGATTATCTAACTTTTGATTATCAATGTATTCCTACTCAACTGAGTAATGGTCAATTACCAATTGATATTTGTTCAACATCTGTCACAGACACGCTTGCTATTAACCGAGGTATGCTTACATCTCCCCAATATCCTCAACTAGGTTTACAAACAAGACGTTGTAGTAAAACACTACAAACAAATTCAAATCAACTATGGGCAATATATATTGTCGATTTAAATATTGAAGGAGCAGATGCAAATGCTAATTGTATTGACGCATCATTGACATTATATGACGGCAAAGATCGTATAACGCTTTGTGGTTCACAACAACCACAACAGATATTAACCAGTTGTTCAGAAACAGTACAAATTGAATTTGTATCAAATAGACAAGCAATAGGATATCGTGGTTTTAAATTATATTTCGAAACAATTAATATACCCCCTAACTGGGCTTGCGTACCAATCGGTTACAGCACTTTACCATCGACAATGCGACCGCCGCAGACTACATCCAAATTGCCACCAAGTGTTTTAAGTATGTTAACTTACTACATGCACTCAGAGCATTTCACAGTTCATTCTATCATCCTCAAGATGGCTGAATTGATTATAACTAATTTTTTTTAGTTCAAACATATGGTGGAACAACTAATGAAACCATGCGTTACTGCGAATTTCCATTTCTCTATCAAAACCAACTACAAAGTGCTTGCTTATCATCGGAGACGGCACCGATACCTGGTGGATCAACTGATCCGTGGTGTTCATTAACGGATAATTTCGATACGGATAAGCAATGGGGCTATTGTTATTTAGGTAAGTAGATTTAAGGTCATCTCCCAAGCGATAGTTTTCTACATTTTATGTGGGCTTGAACGAAACTTATGAAAGCTGTAGACTATCTAGTGCAAAGGAATAAATTATGACAAAAAGTTTCTGTTCGAAATGTTGAATCGTTCAAGAGTTATAAATGTTTACAATGGGTACTATGAGGCTGTTTGTGAGATATGTTTTTCTCAGAGTGAACGATAATTATAGAGTTGGAATTAGCCTTAAATTAATCTAGAAATTATGCGGGACAAATTTGGTCTTCATTTCTTTTAACGTTGAACGTACGAAAAGGTGGCTTATTGCTACTGAATAGAATGTACTTTTCTCAGCGCCTAAATACAGTGACTGTGTATCCACTTTCTTGGTTTTGAAAATTTCTTGAGTACTTGTGACACAGCCAATAACAATATACCTGTTCGGGCACTTTGGAATCAGTGCATTCACCATAGTTGGTGCTTGTTTGAGCTTGAAGGAAAATGTTCATAATTTCCTTCCATAACGTCGAACAGAGTCTCGCTCCAACGAACGACAATATATACCAATATCCATGCAGTATGTAGCCAGAACCGTAGAGTTTCAGCAATTCTGGTTTACAAGACCTTTGTAAAACTCTTTTGAAAACACAACATAAGATAAAAAGTAATACAAATTCTGAAGTAGAGATCCGTCTATGTAAAAACTTTGCACTCTATTTATGGTAGAAATATTAACTTTCTGGATGAGGGAGCGGATCCCAGTGCATCATATACTTTTCATTCTCTGTAGGTGTTACACAAACAACAATGTATGATATTTGTCCAAGTAAAACCGAGACATTGAAGTGTCCACTGGGATACGTAATTGACATTGTAGCTTCCATGTATGGTACAAAAAATCAAGATATTGGTGATGCACAAGCCTGTGTTTACGATGCGAACGATTGCTTTATCAATGATGATACAACAGTTCAAGCGACGTGTGCTGGAAGAAGTTCCTGCGTTGTACTTCATTCGGTTAGAACCTTGGCATCATGTCAAAATCGTCGTTCATCATATTTACACATTGATTATATTTGTGTGCCAAATACATTACCGGATATCAAAGAGTATGATTTTTGCGGTAGTACTACGATAATAACACCAACAGATGATAAACCAATTAGACGGGGTTATATTGTATCACCCAATTATCCAAACACTCAACCAGGTATAGATTGTACAATAACAATTCAACCGAATGATCAGCAAGATGTTTACGTTTATATCCTGGACATGCAATTAGATGTGCCACTTTTGGGACAAAGTTGTACCAAAGCTAAATTTATTCAGACGTATGATGGCTTAACACAAGAAAGATGCGGTCGATCGAGTACAAATTTTCTATTGAATACATGCCATTCACCATTGTCGTTACAATTAATAAAATCGAGTGATTCATCATCAAAAGGACTTAAGTTGTATTTTGAATTTATTAACCGCCCAATTGACGTTGTATGCGTTACTCCACCACCCCCTATGTCATCAACAAAACCTACAGTTGTTCCACAGACAACAACAGAGCCTCCGCAGCCGAGTTGGTACCCGAATATGTCACCAATAATGACAAAACCAATTTGTTATCTCGATTTAGTATCTTTGTTTGGAAATAATATTCAATGTTATAATAACTATCTGTTGGTCATACGTCGAGCGTTCTATGGTAAAGGTTCAAAATGCGGCTATACACAAGGTGATTGCATTAGAGATACAGATTATGTTTATCAAACATGCGCTGGTAAACAAGGGTGCGCTGTGAATTTCATAGCCCCAGTAACACTGTCTGAGTGTGGTGTAAATTTATATGCAGGGTATTTATATGTTGAATATCAATGTGCGCCAAATTTAAGTTTGCAACCATCTCTAGACCTATGTTCAATACAGCAGACGACATTGGGTGATCTTAGTGGCTCATTAATAAGTACCACCTATCCGTCTTATGTTATAACACAATGTGACAATATTACCCTTCAAGCACCTGATAATTCTAATATGATATTACGCATGTACTTGTTGGATTTGAACATTGATGCAGAAGACAGTACTTCTGGGCTGTGTACAAACGATTATTTAATATTTTCGTACAATTGTGATGGACAAACAATCGAAAATAAGCTATGTGGTACACGTAAAACACAATTTTTGTTTGAAACATGTAATGTCAATGAAGCCATTCGTGTTTCGTATAGAGCTCAAAGTCAACTACATGAACAACAAGGTGGTTTTGCACTGCACTATCAATTTTTACCAAAATCTGTCGAATCAACTATACCAACCGTACCAACACAACCCTCTACACCCCCTACGGTAAAAACTACAACTGGATCAGTTCCTCCAATAACAAGGCCGATAGAGGTAGTCACTCTTTGCGCTGGACAATCGAGGACGTTAATATGTCCACGAAATTTTGTTATTGTTTTGTTACAAATTGATTTGGGCGTGAGTGAAAAAAATCAATGTTTATTTGCACGTAATGATTGTTTTGAAGAACGTACATATCTATACGGTTCATGTGCTGGTCAAACATCGTGTGTCATAGTTTATTCTAGAGAATTACCGGTTGCGGCTTGCTCAAATAGACCTGCCAATTATCTTTATGCTGAATATCAATGTGTGCCAACATCTGGACAAATACAAGTAAATGGGTGTAATAATGGTTTACCAATAGACGTTCAACTCTCAGCAAGTATCTTTTCAACGAATTATCCGACCTACACTCCGTCATCACAAGATTGCACAGTTCAATTGCATGCTCCACGACTTTTGGGAAGTCCACACCGTCGTTCATTTAAAATTTATATTATAGTATTCAATTTACCTTCTACTGCAGTAAGTGATATTCTTAACACTGATCAAACAGTCATAGTTTCTTTCTTCTGTTTATTTATTTGAATTTGTCGGGGAGCTAGATTTTCTAAACAAATGAAATAAGAGTTTTTAGATAAAACTAGAAGACGAGTTATTACACGATTGAAAAAGAGACATAGTTTGATAGACAAACACGTGAAAAGACAATGTATGCTTCGACCGAGAATCCAACTTCGGACCTCTAGTAACACATCCGAAGCCGATCGCATTACAAGAGTATATAGTCTCTCGAGGATTTGATATGCCTCTTATTATCTTAGCCACTAATTAAGTCTCTTTCCTAGTCGTATAAAAATATTCATCTGCTAGATTTTTTTGATATTATTATGTATTTTCTCCTCGTGTAGATATCTGGTGGACAAGGCTCACAGTGTGATCCCGTGAATGATGCTTATGTCGAAATTTATGATGATATTATTAAAACACGATTATGTGGTAATTTACATACACGATATGTTTTTGAAATATGTACCGATACGCTTCATATTCGTTTCAAAGACATTAATAAGCAAATTAGTCCATCAGCAAAATATAAAGGTTTCAATATATACGTTGAAGCTATAGATACTAATTGTCCAGAACTAGTAGGAACAACCATTCGACCACCCGAAATATCGCAACCATTCACTATTTATGATCGAGTCGTTTGTATAGTTCCAGGTCGTGAGAGAACAACAATGGTATGTAAGGAACACCATGGACTTGTATTTTTACAATCGTACGTATATTCGACGTCAAAACCAAGTGAATGTCAAATTAGTGATAAACTTTGTCATTATCCAAGTGAACAACCGCAATCTTTGTGTACCGGACAAACTTCTTGTTCATATATATTTATGCCACAGCCTTATCCATTATCATTCGGTTGTTCAGTTCCAGCTCCCGATCTTATTAATTTTCAATATGAATGTATACCAAATCGATTAATACAACAATCACCGGACTATGGTACAGCTGTTTTATGTCAAGATTCGCTCGTGACATTTCGAAGTGGTTTTATTCATACACCTAACTATCCCGCTTATAGCTATTCAAAGCAATGTAAATTAAAAATACTTTTATCCAGTGCTAGTGCTACAAATCTAATGTATATCCGTTTATATGTCATTGATTTATCTATGCGTCAATCGTCTACAAGTAGTAAGAAAACAAATAAGGATGATTCGTGTTATGATTCAATAACATATCGTGATTCTAAGATGTCAACCATATTGTGTGGTGAACTAGAGGAAAAATTTCTTTATGAATCACATGACCGTGAACTCGAAATTGAATTCAATACAAAAGCAATGTTACCCACAGATGATCCAACACGTTTTCATGGTGCTTTACTTTTCTTCTACATAGCAAATTTCACATCACCAGCCACACCGCCGCCGTCTACAACACTAGAAGTCTCTGCACCGCCTAGCACACAGTCACAAAAGCCGAAAAAGAAAGCTGTTACAGGAGTTATTATTGGTATATTAGCTGGTCTCTGTGCTCTTGTTATTTTGGTCGGCATTTTATTGTATCGAAAAGGTATTCTATTTAATCGGCGAAAGACTTCACCAGATGTTGTTTACCAACAAGATTCAGTTGCAATACAAGCACCATCTACAAAGAAAACTGGGCACGAAGCCACATCGTTAACAAATCCATTGTATTCACAACAGACTCTTCGTTTTCAGAATCATCCGAATGGAACAACTGACGCATAAATAATATCATAGTTGTTTATTTTTTCTCGTTTTTAGACAGACATTATGTATATTTTTATCGTTTTATAATAAAAAATGACAATAAATAACATCAAATAACTTCGATCAAAATACAAAAGAGCAACAGGAAGTAGAATATTTTTGTACTATATTCAATCTCTTTTTAAAATCTACATTATTTACGTTAATTGGTGCAAGATGTTAACGGTTTAATTTTTCTTTTAATATTATTTTTAGTTGTACTAGCAGCAAACTAGCGGTAAGGTTATTCATTAATAAAATAACAATAACATCTTCAAACATTTAACAAACGTTTCGGCAGAGATCTTATCCTGTTCGCGATTGATAATACTGGTGTGGGTATTTTTTTACTGCTTTTGGTCAAAAATTTAATGTGAACAAATTAAATAAAAAATGATTCAACTGACAATAATTGTAAAAACAAGTTCTCTCTTTTTCTTGATAAAATCTTTACGTTTAACATTTTTATATATTAAGGGGGGGGGCCCATTTAGATTTTCTTCTAACGTTCTTAGTTTGTAGAGGATACTTCGACGATGTATATGTCCTGAAGGTTTTTCGGCTTGCTAACATTATCTGGCTCAGAAAAAAATTAATTACTTAAAAAAATATCCTTAAATTTTTGAACAAGGGACTATCAAAAATTTAAGGATATTTTTTTAAGTAATTAATTTTTTTATCAGCCAGATAATGTTAGCAAGTCAAAAAATCGGAAATATCTGCTACAAACTAGGGACGTTAGAAGAAAATCTAAATGGGGGACCGCCTTAAGCAAATTTTTCTAATATTCCTATTTAAACTTTCAATATTGAATGAATTTTTGTGTGCTTGGTAGCCAAGATTAAAAATGTGTACTTCAATGTCATGTTTCACACAATTTTTCCGCAATAAATTTCAAAAATACATCGAAAATACATTAAGTACAGTAACAAACAGCAATGTTCACATGAACAAGTCCATCAAGCATATCTCTTCACGCGTGTCTCTTTTTCCTCGTGTAATAATTGCAATACTGAAGTATTTCTATTTTTATAGTGGAAAACTTCATTTATATCAAAGTTCTTGTTTATTGTTTACCCATATTGGGTATATAATTAATGTACTTCATGTCCAACAAGTGACATTTGATGATAAATTTTTCTCGCTATAGTATGATCACCCACTGTTCTTCCTCATGCTGTTGAATAGTTAAGGAATTTGTCTTTGAAACAATATTTTAGACAATAATTAATCAAAAGATGTTTCATTTCTTGACGAAACGTTCTTGATGTTAATAAAAAAATATAAAATGATGATGCATTATTAAAATATAACGTGGGTGTATTAGATAAGAATGAAAAAAACGTTTCAATTGACACTCTTAGCGCATTTTTTGATTGATTCATTGTTATTGTTGTGTAAAATA